TTTGATTTGCCCCTGTAAGTTTACGAATGCAAGCTAAACACATATAAGCCAGTTTTAAATCAGTTTAAGTGTTCACACAGAAAGATGCACCTATTTAACTAAATGGGTTTAAAAAATAAATCACATCTTTAGTTAAACCAGTGGGAAAGTATGGGTACGCCAGGCTTTGCTGTGCCAAGAATGGGAAAGTTTGGTGCAGTCAGCAGCACTAAGATCCCCCAAAGAAGGAAAGGCAACATCCTGCCTCCCTTTACTGGTCTGCAGAGCAGTAAAAAGGCTATTAAAAAAAAAAAGGGCTGCTTAGGCCTGTGCTTCCAAAAGCATTAGGGAGAAAACCTCCAGGAGTGGCTGCCACTACAGTCTTTCCCCAATGCAAACAGTGGCTTAAAGCCACAATCTTGTCAAGAGTAGTTAGCATTCCCCAGGGATCAAATCCTGCAATCCCTAATCAGGCATTGATTTCAGTGGGATTTTAGCATGTGTAAGGTCCACAGAATTTCTGAAGGGGTTTTAAAGTATTATCTAAATGAATAATAAAGCCTTCCAGGAATCAGTAAGTAAAAAAAGAAATGGGATTATTTTTATAGAAAGGAGCAACCATCATGGCTAGCAGATATGTGTTGAGAGAGAAACAGACAATACTCGCAAGAAGGAAATAAGGAAATAAGTTTGGGGACATACATTTGTATTATAAACTTTCCAATGGTATGGACTTAATCTTGCTGCAGTGTTAAAAACTGCTTTGTGTGGCAACAGCTGGAAGAATTCTGAAATAAAGTGGGATGCTTAAGGTGGACATTACCCAAAATGCTTTTCTGTTCCCCCCTATCCTCCTCCCCCCCCCCCCCCACGCAATCAACAATGCTGTGGTCTAAGAGCCTACAACAAACTGAAAAGTTTGGATGTGTTTTTTTCCCCAAGGAAGGGAGATTTAGTTGGTTTTATTAACATGCAATAAATTATTTATGTTTGCTGGCTTTAAAGCCAGAAAGAAATATAGATGAAATCCCACTAATTTCAGGGTAACGTCTGTGGAACATATCCTGGAGGAAATGATTTATTCAGATGTCCTCACCGCCAACCTCAGCCTCAATAGTAACAGCAGACCATAATGGGGGTCAGAAGTGAGATGATTAATCAAAATAAGTTAATACTTAAGGAACAAACATTCAGAAGTTCAATTTAGTTGCAAAATAACACAACACACCTCTAACCAAGCACAAAATGTGTCCTATGATTTATTATTTAGAGAATCAGAGTGAGTACAAAAAGGAGCAACAGAATAGAATGTGCATTCTGCTAAGTGATCTCCCATGCTATGCCTTTTCCAAAGAACTTTGTAATGGAAGAAAGGACAGAACAACCTGATCTCTGATTGCAGCCATAAAATACTCATATTTACAAAGCAAAGCACTGAAGCTTACCATAAAATCTAAGGAGCTTTAATGAATAGAATTGCTCTGTAACTTACACATGTTGGCTTAGTGGGGACATTTAAAAAAATCATCAGTTTTGGTAATACTGGTAGTTTGTAATTTATGTATTTCAGGTCCTGATTCTCATTTACACCCAAAGGGGCCTTTAAAAAGGTGTAAGTTACACTCCCAATGAGGTAAAATGCCTTAGTGTAAATGAGAATCACACAGCTAAGTGACCACAAACTCTAAACAACTAATGCAAATTTAGGCTCCAAACCTGTAAACTGCTCTTTGCAAACCCTGGAACCTCCTGGGAAACCTCCAGTGACTTCAGTGGGACTCTGTGCAGGAGTAGAGGTCTTCCCATGCAGAACAGCTTCAGGATAAGGATGTCAATATCTCAAAGAAAAAAAGTAGATGTCATTTAAAAATCTAAATCCCCAGGCATGCCAGAGAACTTGTCCTTCAATCAAATTGCTTTTTTAAATGATTTTCAGCTTCTTGTATTTAATATAAGAATCCCATGAACTGCAGACTATTTTCCTCCCCTCTGCTTACTCAGAGACATTCAGCACATCAACACATACATAAATCTTTTCACCTAGACTGAGTTGTTAAAAAATTTACCCAGTGGTTCATACAATCGAGTCGGATTAGAACTGTTCATAATACAGCACCAGCACAGTTGAAAAGCATTCAGTGGGTACATTTTATTTACAAAATAAAACATTTTATTGGTGGACTCCATATTCAGCCTATAAATAGCCTCATTCTCCTGCACTGCACTAACCATCTGTACACAGTATATTTCAACCAGCCATTCTCACTATCTTACAATTGCTAATACATAATGCTAGTTAGGAGGTGCTTTGTAATCACACTGCTTTCTGACTAAGATGGAAATATTTCTCTATCCCTCCCTTGAGTTCACAAGTATCCCAAAGTGTAATCATTTCTTGCTGGTTGTCTTCCAAAAGGATGTTGTGAGCCCCTCTACAGTTCAGCTAAGGTGAATTTCACCCTTGTGCAGAGGGTGAACACAAGGCCATATACCAAATAAGTCCCATTTAAGTCTTTGGAATAAGGGCTAAATAGGATTTAAATGGTGCTTTGGCCTCATGCTGACCTTCTGCACAGGGGTGAATTTAATTCTTGTCGTAGAATATCTGTACAAGGAGGCAGGTTTTGAATTAAGTAGCAAGACTTGATGTCAAAAATAAAAAAATATTCATTAGTACTATAAGCAGATGATTTCTGTAATGACAGAAGCATGTTAAAACCTATTAGTAATAAAAGCTGAATCCATATTTCACAGTATGCTGTAACAAAACCTGTTGTAAAATATTGGTTTTAGAGACTGTGTTTAAAAGATGGATTTAAGAATCTACAATGCCTGCTGTACCATCTTGTATGATTTTAAAACTATAAGAAATCACTTAAAATTACTTTTTTTATCCTTTATTTTTTCAATCCCTTTCTCAGTTCAGTGATAACTCACAGCAGGCAGAAACTGGCAGAAATAGGGAGGGCCATGTGAACACATTTTCCAAAGATTCTTTCCCACAACTCTGCCATTTTAGGACATTCCCTGCACATATGCTCGGAGTATCCAGAAGCACTTTCCAATACATTCCAGAGTCTCTTAATTCTAAACTGCCTTCTCTCAAGTGGAGTACAATTTTCCTAGTAGAAGTATATTTTGAGTTGCCTTTAACTCTGGCAACTCAAAATTGAGTTTGAAGCATCCACCCAAATATATGTCCAAGAATCTGATTATGCTGCTCTCAAATAAAGAGGTTTGAGGTTTTTAAAAAAAACCTCTTATTTTCCTAAATAAAAACTCAATTTTTGATTGCAGTTCTAAATCTATAATTCCTGCCAACAGCAACACACACAGCAGCCAGCTTCCATCAGCATTGAGACTTCCCAGACAAGCTGTACAATATCACTCCAGAAACTGCTGAGGTTTGGCAATAATTGTAAGATCAATGGGAAGAAATAATAGCAATAGAGGACAAATTTAATTGGGTAGGACCATATGGTAAATATTAGAATACTAAGGCTCTAACCTTTTAACTCTCAAATCTTGGGTTTAAATCCTGTCTTAGGTCATCAGTGGAAATTTAGTTGAGGCAATATTGGAAGTTATGGGTATCTAAATTCCACTATATACAGTTTCAGCTTATGTATGTTAGTGCAATAGTTAGACATACAGTAAAAAAGTTTGTATGGTTCTTAATTCACACTGAAATGGAAGAAGAGACAGAAGGAAAGATAATTGCTAAGGAATTAAGTAGATTTGCTTTTTCAAGTTTTGAATCACAAATCTAAGGGGAAAAACAGGTATGGATCTTTAGTGTATGTAAATTGTTGGAAAAAAGTCAAACACCGCACATGCTTCTCTTTTCTTTCATTTATTTTATTTCATACTGTTAAAAATAAAAATTTACTTTAGGACAGCCCTTTCCTATTAGTCCTGCGACTTTCTGGTATGTCTTTTTCAGGTTTTTTGGAGGCAGTGTTGTGTTTGACGAGAGACTTTCAGTCTGATTCTTCTCTGCCTTGTATCTTAAGTAGTCACCTGGGCAGAGGGAGAGCAAAACATTGCCACATCAGTCTTCTCCACTCCCACATCATAAGGAATAATTTTGTTTCCCTGATTAAATGAGTTATGTAATTTAAAAGTAGGCATTGCAGATTTCTAATTATTAGATGCAATGGCTAGAAGTTGAAGCCAGCAAAGTTCAAATTGGAGATAAGATGCATTTTTAACAGTGAGGAACAGCTTGCCAGGTAATATAGTAAGTCCTCCATCACTTGGAGATTTAAAGCAAGTCTGGATATCTATCAAAAAATATTGTTTACTTCATCCAAAAGTTATTGGGCTCAGTGCAAGAATAACTGGCTTATTTTGTGGAGAACTCGATCATCTTAAGGGTCTCTCCAGACCTTAAAAAGTTAGGAAGTGTACATTCAAGTATAAAACTGGCAATTTGAAATTTGCATTCACCGATTAGTTATGCAATTTTGAATGTACTTTTGTGGAATATCCAAGCATTCAAACTTCAAATTAGCTTTTTGTATGTACTCACACTTGTAAAGCTGGAATATACACACGAATATTTGCAAGCAGGAACCCTAAAGTGGTGCAAGCACAGCCAAAGCAAAGTCATGTAAAATGGGAACAAATATTTTCAGATTTATTTTAGCAGCATTCATCTCCAATGGGCTGGTTTAACCTGGAAGTGACTATGAACTCTTCAGACTCCACTGAATACACTTCTGCTGCTGCCGACAGTTGTAAAGTAAAGGGGCAAATGTAAGGCCAAAGACAGAGTGCCTTATTTTTGTAGTTGAACAAGATGGAGGTGCTAATGCTCCAGAAACACTGAAGCCTGTATTTTTTTCCTGAAGCATCAGTGTTTCTTAATGAGTCATAGTGAACTTCACTGTTTCAACACTGTGGGACAGACTGCCCCCTCCACCATAAAACCCTTAGGACAATGTTAGAGGGAAGGAAAGTCTGCAACAATTCCCTTCTGGAGCTCCCTCCAAGTGTCCTGTCAGAGATATACCCACTATAGATTTAACTGATGTAATTTCTCCCTGGAACGCAAGCCACCCCAAAATGGGCAGGGAGCCATGACCCAGCACTTTCTAGGGTTCGTGCTAGAGTGGTTCAGCTCAGTCATAGGCATATGCCTACTAGGCGCAACCTGGTCTTCAGAAAGGAGGTTGACAACATGTCAGCTTCTCATCCACACCAGTCATACACCTGATAGCTGAAGATCACATTTGTCACTGCCTCCTCCAACAAAAAATGTCATTTGATGCAGGAGCAAACTTGTCATCACCTCAAGCTGACCATGTGAATCCTTTTCCCAGCTTCATGCTCAGTAAGTATAAGGAAGAGAAATGTGCATGCCGTGGAAAAAATACAGAATTGTGTTTTTGAGAAGCTGGCTGACAAATAGCTTACAGTAAAACAATTGACCTCTCTGTCTTATGGCCCTGCAACAGTAGGACAGCTCCTTGTGAAGTGAGTCCAGATCACTTCTCATGATCTATCGCTGCTAGGCTAGGTTCTTGCCAGTTATCTGTTTGACTGATGGGTGAATGTAGGCCATTAATCAATTGAATATTCTTGCCATAGGGAACCTGGCCATAATCATAGTTCTAAAACATTTTATCATATGCTTTATCAAAGAGCCTGGGCCCCATTCAGCCTTGGTATAAAGTTCTGAAGCCGTTGGTTCACCCCATACCTTAATTTAAACCATACATTTCAGCAGTTGCACATGCTTACAACAGGGCTGAATTAATCTTGTGTACTTTTTAAACCCTTGGTAGAATACTGTCACTGCAGTCAGTGACCTTGGCAATTCAGAAGCTGTCACTCTTCTTTCCAAGTCAGCACTGAAGTAATGCTAGAGGAACCAGGTTGCTGCCTTTTAGATGAGATATAAAATTGAGATCCCCCTTGTGGTCATGAAAAATCCCATGCACTTTTCATGCAAATAGGCGTTAGTCCTACTTTCCTGCCTTAATTCAACTGGGAAATCACATTCTGCCTGCATGAAGCTCCCTGTTGTTTCAAATGAGTAAGACATTCCTGTTCATTGTTGCTATGCCTCTGATAGTCAGCCTTAGTGGGGTGGGGGGAGGTCTCTGGTCTAGTCTTCCTCTTTGGAAGGAGTACAAATACCAGTATCCTAGTTATCCACCACATCAGTATACCAGAGGAGGCTTTTTCTTTTTCTTTCCCATGCCAGGGCAGCCAGCATCTAGATCATAATTTGAATCCAGTTGTAATAATTGTTGGGTTCTTTGGATGAAGGATGTTATCTGTACATTGGTATATCAATGTTCCATATTAATGCCAATTGTTAAGTATGTGTAGTCAGACACTCCCCTACTGAAACTGGACATGGACTTCATTAGAATCTGCACCCCTCTGGCCCCAAAACCAACATACAGGGATTTAAAATTATGAAGCACAGTGCCCTCCCAGATCACACCCCCTTATGGCACAGCATGACCCTGCAGACAGCCCACTCTCAGTTTCCTCCTGGATCTCTTAACAACGGTCCAGCATATTTAATGCAACGTTCCTCTTCTTAGGGTCTAATTTATTACATTTTTACAAAATATAGTCTCCATTGGGCTTCAGGCCCAACCCCATCCCTCTTGGGTTGTCCAACTCATCTCTTACTCCAGGACTTCAAGTTCTCCAGTTCCTTCTGGGCCAGGGAGCTCTGCCAGTCCCACTGTAGCCCTGGCCTCTCTGGAGAGTCTTTCCTCTGGGTTCTCTTCTTGTCCTGGTCTAAACTCCCCCTCCTTTGGTTAAGGAATTCCACAACCCTCCTTATTGTGGCTGTGTTGTAGTTCAGGCAGGCTCCCCCAGCTCACCAGTATCCAGCCCTGCTCCACAGAGCCTCCCTTGGTCCTTGGACTCACACACTTCCTCCCCCTGGTTCAGGGCCCCCTACAGTCCTCCTTGGGGGTGTACTAAGATTCAGCCTTAAGCCAGCTTCTTCCAGCTGGCCCCTTTAAATTACTGCCCCCCAGGTCCACCCAGACTGCCACCAGCCTTTCAAACAGAATTTAAAACACCTTCATAACAAAGTCCTTCCTCCTACCCTCGGCCTGCCTGCCCAGCATCTCCGCTGAGGTGCATTCTTCCAATCATCCTCGCCACCTGAAGGCCATGTCACACCATCTCACTGCTTTCCTCCTGGGTTGGATGAGTCCTTCTCCTACTAGTATCTCTCCCATTACAAGGGAAGAGGCACACTATGTACTGTCCTCCTAACCAGAATTGGTCCCGGTTGCTGAGAGAGAGAGAGGGGAGCTTTGTCCCACCCTACCCTATGAGGGTCCTGGTCTGAGGCCCTTAAAGGAATAGTAGCTTGGGTTTTTCCACCCAGCCACTAACTGTTATCCCGGGATCACTCTCTCTGCCCCACCATCTGTCTCTGCCACTCCCTAAGCCCTCTGTCTGCTCCAGAGTTGCTGTAACCTTAAAGGGGGTGTATCATGGATCAGGGGTTGGATGACCCTAGTCCTTACTACCCTTTAAATGGGATAGACACCCTGTTACATTATCCAAAAAAAATGTTTTTCTGTTGACTTTCAGGAAATTTCATGACACAGTAGAGATTTACACATGTAGGACAGGAACACAGGGATGAAACAAGCCAGCTCTTTATTTTCACTAATGTTCTTTCCTTTTTGCTGCCTTCTCCCAGGTAAGGAAAGTGTTACCTATCTGTAGTGGTACAGTAATTTAAAGGAAACGAAAAGCCTTTTTACAACAGTGTCATGTGTCAGTCCTCTCTGAATCATGGCTGTTGGTGCAGGGCCACAAGCTAATGGGGTGGTATCGTTCCACAGCTGTTCTGGCAACCAAGCATTGGTGTTTTACGTGACATGATTAGATTTACTGTGCAAGCTAATTGAAAAGGAGCTGAACAATTACTCCAGGTTTTGAGATAAGATTTTAATACTGATGTTTCTCTACTTGCTGTGTACCAAGACTCTCGAGGTGGAGTGAGTCGCAGCAGTAATAAGTAAGTGTTGACAGCTATTTATGTCAGGTCCTTTTGAATTTGTAAACAGAACTTGACAAAACTAAAGCAAGTGTCAAGAGGTTATTTCACACTTTGTTACACCACATAATGTGATATGAAGACATTTCAGAAAAGTTTAATACAGCAACAGAAAAAAACCTGTGCTTTGTGGGACAAACAGCCAGATCACATTGGGGAAGCAAAAAACGACTTGACATACAGCGAGATTTTCTTCTTCTAACATTGCGCTGACAGCAGTAGTCCCACTAAAGAATGCTAGATTTAAAAGAAGAGGTACTTAGTGGCTCAAGTGTGTAGAGTGTGTGTGTATATATATATATATAGTGGAGAAGGGGTATTATATCATCTAAGCTATTTTTTATTTGTGTCCCATGGTGGCAGGGTCGGGGTGAGAATATAGAAAGTTTCATACTTTACCACCCTGTATTTAATTTTTTTTAAAGGCTTTAAAAACATGTGAAAGATTTGGCCTAGCCACAGGGAGGATATAGTTTGCACAGCATGTGAGAAGTCAGCCACATCCTCTTCCACTGTTTCTTTTTTAGGTTTGATGGGAGCCCTTGGGAATCTACATGTAAGCAATACTCATGTCTTCATTCTGCTGCCAGCTTCTCTCAGCCTTCCCCTCCACTGTAAATCAACGCGGGGAGAGAAATAAATGAAGAATGGGGGAAATGCCTCTTGGGAAACTGACTTTGTGGAGCAAGGTCTGCCAATGGATAACCCGACCTTGTGCATATAATTTTGGAATTAGTATTTGCCAGGATTCTACACAATGTCCCTGTTCTGTTTTTATAAGCATCTGATTGCATGGAACACAAGCTTTTATATCTTTTTCTAGGCCACATTTCTATTTTGTAATATGTTTCGAATCAAAGGGAAAAAGCAATCTCACACAATCAAGCTAGAGCTGCCATTAGATGATTCATTCTCTTTCAAAGAGGATTACCGGTCAAAGCCACCCAAAAACAACCTCAGGATGATCTTGCAATTTTGCAGGGAGGATATGCCTAAAAAGAGTTAAGCAGGCCTGCAAGATTAGTCAGCAACACCTGTTTTACTGTCTACATATTCAGTTCTCTATTACCGCTGCCCCTAATCCCTCTCTTTTTCCTCCTCTTTAAAAAATTATGAGTTTGGCACAGTAACACCAAACAAGTGCATTCCAAGAGTTGAACAATTTGGTATACTTAATAGGTACCTACTCCCATTATAAATTATGTATACTGTATGAAAACATAGGGCATTCTTCTCTCACTTACACTAGTGTAAATCAGGAATAACTCTGTGGAAGTCAGTGGAGTTACACTAACGTACGTGAGAGAAGAATCTACCCCAATGTAGCTACCAGAGTTGCCAACTCTAATGATTTATTGTGAGTCACCTGATGTTTGATTTTTTTTTAGCTCCTGGGGTCATGTTATTTTGTGAAAATATCAGCTTTCATTTACTATTTAAAAAATTAAGTCTGCAGGGGAAAGCTTGAATATGCAAACACTTGACTAAAAAAAACCAGAAGAACCCCCACATTTTATATTGTTTAAAATCTCATTAGTTTGAAGCCAATTGCATGATTTTGCAGGGGCCTAAACACTTGGGGTTGCAACACTGAGCTTCCCTTCAATAAGGCAGGTGTACGTGATAGGTAAGACAGACCAATAAGGAACACACAGGCACATAAGTTGACCAGACAGCAAGTGTGAAAGATTGGAACTGGGTGGGGGTAATAGGAGCCTATACAGGAAAAAGACCCAAAAATCGGGACAGTCCCTATAAAATCGGGACATCTGGTCATCCTACATGCACAGAACATTATGCATTAGTCTATTGTCCAGTCTGGTTGTCCTCTAAATAGTATCTGAAATTCTATATAATGAATTTTGTGTCTATACATCCTCAGCTCCATGCCAGTGTCAATATGTCTGCTTGTAGTAACACGGCATGTTGTGATCGATATTATTTAAAAGATGAATTGGTCACAGAGAACTTGATGAAGGCTGGAAAGATTGAGGGAGCAGATAATGCTTGCATCAGAGAAGCTGTAAGAGATGGGAAATTTTACTTATTTGGGCAGCTGAGCACAGCAGATGGCAAGATCTTAGGGGAAATAAACACAAAGTTTGGGAAAGCAAGCAGTGTGTTCTAGCCATTGTCAATGAGCTCCTACAGTAGAAAAAAAAATCAGTCAGAAATTAAATATCAAACAGGCCCTTGGCAGACAGAAAAGGTAGGACAGAGGAGGTTGATGGGTTTCAAGGGCCAGCATTTGAAAAATAATTGTATGGATCAGATGGTATTACTACTTTAGCAACCAGGAGATTTGAACAGAGGTCCATCAATTATGGGTCAAAGTGCATTCAACTAGAAAACTCAGCTAAATGTGTATCTGCCAGGCCTATAGGCTTGGTCTACACTAACCCCCCCAATTGAACTAAGGTACGCAACTTCAGCTACGTGAATAACGTAGCCGAAGGT